TTGTGTGTCCTCAATAGTGACTGTTGGTTCTCACAAGTATAGTAGAATGCAGATTTTGGTCCTCACAAAGATAGCTAGACAGGAACACACACACACACACACACACACACACACACACACACACACACACACACACAGCCTATGTCATAAGTCACAGCCCTTCTATAACAGCTTTTCTCAAGGGGCAAGTAAAATTCAAGTCCCTATAGTTAGCACAAGTCCATTAAGTTGTATCACCAACTATTTTACAAGTCAGCTGCTGAATGAAGGCATTCACTGAAACTGACAGCCTCGTTACTGATTCTGCTCTTTTGTAAAAGAAACAAGGAAATGTAACAAACTCTTGAGCAGCAATCACAGTTTTAATTCTGTTGTGACTGTAGGGTTTGATAAACTAATGAATAATATGTAAGTACTGCTGAGTGAATACTTCAGTTATGAAATATAATAACATTAATTGCATTATCTTTGCAAAAGACAAAATTAATAGAGAGCCAGCTGAGTTCAGTTTGCAGAGAAGCACAGAAGGCAAAAACCAAAGCTGACCACCAGAAGCCCTTTTTTACCGGTTTTAAATGTACATTTATTTAAAAGGTTTTCACAGTTTCTAACCAACTTTTGACAAAACATTTGTCTTACAGCTTTGTTCTGTGGGCATATGATCAATAAAAATGCCAATGATAGCCTCATATACAAATTCACAGCTGGGTGACTTTGGTGTTAAGTTATAGAAACATAAAAAAAATCACACAAAACCATAAATCAACCAATCAAAGCAAGCTAACAAAGCTGCATGTTAAATTAAGTTTTTGTCATTGGAGTGGTGTTTTTAACACACAGCTTTAGTCACTTAAGACAAAACACAAACTCTCATGAAGACTCAGTAAAAATTCCTGTTTTCTGTTGCACTCAACAACAGTACATTTTGCCTGCATGCTAGAAAAAGCAGTGTAGTGCTAATTAGCAACATGCCCACCCCATCACTTTCACCTTACCTCAGAAGAGAGGGACGATTGAGGGAAGATGATTATGGTTATGTTTAACTGGGGTTTCATATTTTTACAGTTTTTATATTTTATGATATGGAACCTTTATCATTTTGGGAGTATGCTTATTTGCTCTTAGATCTTAATTATTAAGAAAGAAACAGTCGTCTCAATAATCAAACTCCTATAGAAATACAACTCAGTTTCATAATTTTGTTTTTTGCTGGTGTAATAAATTGCTCTCATCTGTTTCCCTTGATAAGGCTAAGATACACTTCCCTGGCTCTTCTTTAAGATATTGATTTTAGATACTTTAGGGTGTTTGGGTATCATTTTAACTCCCAGTTTATTGATGTAAAGCCAGCACAATCTGCAGTTAAATGTCAACTCCTCAGAATAAAATCAAGCATGAATAATCACCTTTACTAGTGCTGCTTTCCGCACTGTAGCTGCTCAGATATATTTCAAGGAAAGGTTTAGTCTTCTGAGATGACACGACAACAAAAAAAGGTGAAAGCTGCATTTCCAGAGCATTGTGTATTCAGACTGCAAGTGCAGCACTCAACACAAGTGATGAATTACCTTGAACAGCAACTACTTTTCATTCGGTTGCCTTAGTCAGACTTGGGGATTGCTAACAGCGGTAGAAATACTTTAATATGTTGTTTCTGGCTCATCCCTTTGTTGTTCTTTTTTTTCTGAAATGATGCAATGTTCAAACATCTTTGGCCATCACGAAGACTGATGTTGAGCTTGAACGAAAGTATAAATGATGTCAGCTACTCATGAGAGTAAAGAGTGCATTTCACAGCCACAACAAAGGAATTATGTCATCCCCCTCTTGACCCAGACATGGTGATATGCATCCATTGACACTGTATTCTTACTCTTTTACCCATGCACAAAACACAAAACTTTATTTCAAATATTTATTTCCACTTGTCAGTTTGTCACACATAGATACCACGGTTTAGTGGCAAACCATGGCGCCCACAAATATTTAGTTTCCCAATGACTCGTAACACAGCGTGCCCTTTAAAGAAAAAGAAATATTCAAAAATGAGATCTGTAGCAGATGCACAGAGGCATCGAACCATCTCAAAATTGTGTTTTAAATAACTAAACATGAATAACAACAATGAAAAGAATAACACACAGTAATAACAAGTAAATTCAGTCAGTGTTCATTACTGAAGAATAAGCTGGAGTGTTATTTACGCTTCATTTTGATCTCATCTTCAGACATGAACTCCCTTTTCCCACCTGTTCATTAGGACTGAAGCTATTCAAACAGTGGCACATAGCGAGTCAGTCCGGTAGCTCTGTGTGTGCGTATATACTGTAAATATAAAATGAGATCATCACTCCAACTCCAACACTGTAGTTGTAATAGTTGTATACATGTATTGCGGTAGCTATTATTTCAGTTTCACCCCATTCTTACTCAGCAAAGGCCCCAGGGAGAGGCTTCAGGGGCTGGGTTGCACATATCCACATGATTATACCTGGAAGCTGCAAAGTCCACATACCATTCATTAGTTTTAATGGAACAACGCCTCTGCAGCAGAGCTTGGTGTTGCTTCCAGTAAACAACTCAAACTGCAGATCAGTCCTAGGAATAACAGAGAAGCTTTTGAATAATGACCAGTCAGTTATGAGTGTATTCGTATACACACAGTGAGCGGTGATATTCATGTGGCACTTCACACGGTATCTTAACTTCATTTATTGGAGATCTTTTGCAATTTATTGTTAAACATGCATTTCAAGTAGAGGAGCAGTGTAGCATGCATCACATTTCTATTGCGGTCATATAATCACAATAAATGCATTAAGAAAAACTATGTACAGCAAATAATAATAATAATAGCATTAGTAATTATAATAGATATTTATTTATAAAATTGCTAAATTGCAGATATTGGCATGGCTGCATCATACAGCAAGTAAATTATACCGTGTCTTTCAGACAATCAGTGAATCTAATCAGTGAATTGTTTTCAATTTTAACACTGCAATGAACACTGACTCGATATCTTTAAGATTTGCAAAAAACATCTATGATTAAAACATAAAGTACACATACAATAAATAGCAGTTTGCATGTGTGTGGTATACACAGATGGCTCCTTACATGACAAGCACAATGATGTCAGAGAACAATGTCATTTTTTTTCTCTCTCCATAAAACAGGTCATCGTTACAGACATTTCTTGTTTTACATTCAGTGATTTGGAGAACGGGACTCCACACGAAATTTAACATATAGATCCAAGACGCCTTTCAAGAAGACAAAGCCAAAGCCAGTTTTTTTTTTTTTTTCAGTCACTTAACTAACTTTAAATGAACAGATCGCAGTTTCCCCACGTGGTGTATTTTCCTTAAGAGGATGAGGTATTTGCCACAGGATATGCTTTCATTCATCACCTCTCCTTTAGTCTGATCAGATAAGTGATTTTGCAGCTCAGCAGTGCAAGATCTTAATGAATGCCTTTCTGAACTCAACATTAAAGGTGGTGTATATGATGGGATTTACAGCACTATTCACATAGCCCAGCCAGGTGAAAGCGTTATACATCTCGGCAGGAACCTTGCATTTGGTGCAGTGGGTGTTCAAGATATGTGTGATGAAAAACGGCAGCCAGCATATAATGAATACACCTGAGGAAAGAAAAAAAAAATTAGGTATTAGAATAAGATACAGAGAATGAGGAAATAAAGCCCAAATATGGGTGGCCCTACTGAGGAGTTGGATTCTAAAGTATCAGTACAATTTCTTTTTGTTGCATCACTTTCTGACTTGTTTTTCAAACTCTTTTTTTAGGTCCTACTGAAAAAATTGATTGAAATGAAAACAAAAACAAACGTAAAGACAGCCAAATACCTATGATAGAGCAGTGGGGAAAAAAAGATATGTATATTGCAAAAAACGCTTTGAACACGCTCCTTTGCATGTTCAAAGATAACATTTGGTTCTAGAAATGCTTAATTTTCCAGTGTCACTTCAACTTTGATGTGCAGAATCACATAAAACGGCTTTTAATTGAGCTTGTATTCACTTTCATGACTTCTTTTAAAATCAAATGAATAATTTAAAAATTACTACTAATAATAAGGGACTAACTTACCGAGGACGATGGCTAACATCTGGGTAGCCTTCTTTTCCTTTTGCTGGGAGATCTTTCTCTTGCTCATGGTTTTCACAGAAGTCTGAGTCTTGCCATTAGGTAAGGCCTGTGTCTGGAAGGCTTTGGCTACGATGGGTGCCGGATCGCCTAAGGTCTCCTTGGCAGGATCGCCGTTCTTTTCTGCTTTCTGGCCCTCCTTGTGGGGTGTGGGGGGTGTTGAGATGGGGCTAGCGCTGGCCTTGTTGGGCATCAATAGCTGATGGCTCGTGGCTGGAGTGTCTCCAAGAGCACCTTGTATCTGCTGCTTCTGCTTCACACTGCTTCCACTGTTATTCAGCTCATCCAGCTCCAGATTTTCTCCCTCATTGACCACATCTTTGATGAATATCTGAATGAAGACAAATTTAGTAAAGGTTCATTCGGATAGGGGGTAGCGAGTATAAAACTTTTCTTTATTTAACTTTGAATTTTAAAATTACATTTATTCTAGCAGATGGGGAAAACTTCAAGGTGACATCTTTCGAAATCTCTGCAGGCAAAAACTTTTTTTTTTTCCATCAATTAAACTTTTAGGGGAAAGCATAAAAACAAAAGAACAAAAATGTATACACACCACTTTCTTCTTGTTGACAGGAAAACTCCCATTAGTTTTAACAATCATGGTGCACAGCCTCACATCCTCTGGATGAGTGCACTTATCCTGAAATGAAAACAGCTGTGTCAGGCAAGGAGAGAGTACAATGTCAAAGCAACTGACAAAAGGGCCGTCTAAGCATGGAGGAACAGGTCCCGCTTCCTACACGGTCAAAGGAGGCTACACTGAGCACGGAAAGGCTGTTTAGCAGCACTCTGATCTGCAGCTTCTATACCCGCTGAAAATCCAATCCATCAATGTGACCATGTAATATATTGTTGTGTGAAATAATTTCACCAACCTTAATTTGATAATTAAGATAAGAAGTGAAAAATTATGCTCCATTACCCCATAAAGATTATAGCTATCTGTCAATATGCTGCCATATATTGACCAAAACCACAGCACGAAGCCATGCATAAACATGAGTAATGTACTGCACTGGATCGAGAGTGTTGCTTACTTTCTGTACAGACATCAATAAGTTATGACAAGAAAATCAATACCCAGAAAAGCAAAAGGTCATTTGAGGGTCGTCACAATTAGTTTTGCATGTCACATTTTCTTTTTAAATGACACATTTTACAGGGAAATGTGTCATTTAAGATTCAAATTTGTGTCCTGGATTAAACCTGATATTAAATATCTTATTTTCATGTAAGGTGTTAAAAACTAAAACAGCTAAAAAGCCTTTTCTAGCAGAGTCTTGCTCAATTCAACCCCTTATCTTAATCCATTGTGTATTCAAAGAAAATCAATCGCAGTCTGTGTTTTTATTTTAATAATGTGTTGCTCTGTAATACAATGTCTGCTTGTAAAACCAACAAGAATAGCTGGACTGAAAAAATGTATTGCAGTTCTCTAAAGAAACAAACAAAATCAAACAGCAAATGATGTCTTTTGTGATGTTTTTTAGTTTAATGTATTACTCTAAAATATTAAGACAGTACAGAGAGATAAAGGAGCTTTGATAAAATAAATGTGTAAATGAAGCCATAAAAACACGAGCCAGCTATAGCAGCTCACCTTTAGTGAGGTGGCCATATCAGGGTCCGCAGCCTGAGAGACAAGCTGCTTTGGTTTTGTGTTGACGCGTTTTCTGCGCTTCCTCAGGACCACATAAATTTGGACATAAACGAGCAGAGTGATGATGAAGGGTACATAAAAGGACACAATGGAAGAGTACACCACAAAGGCTGGATTGGCGATCACACAGAGAGACTCATCACGAGTAGCTGTGGAGATAAGCACAATGTGAATTAAGACTGCGTGTTCTCTTTCTCCCAAGACTTGCTGCTTTTGTGCGTGTGTGTGTGTTTAATCTTATTTTACTTCCACTTTTAAAAGTCTGTAAAACCAGAATTTGGAACCTTAGATTTGCTTGAACCAATAATTGCTTTTTGATTGCAAGTAGATTGAAAAATGTCACCACTTCTACATTCTCCTCACTCTCAGGTTATTTACACAGCACTCTTTCTACCTCACCTCCACACACATTAACCGTACTCCCACTTCTCACAGCCCATGTGGACTGCCTTATAGCTATGGAGCCAAATGCAGAGATCATATCACCCCAGTTTTGGACTCTGCAAGGGTTGTTTGTTAAATTTAGATTTTAATAATTTACAAGATGAATTGCCCTCATTTTTAAAATTCCCTAAAAACTAGTTTAGAAACTGAGGCGATGCTTCTCTGGGCTTGTATTTCCAGCTTTTTGGACAAACCAAAACCAAAAATTATAAAGAAAATTGCAGCATTTCAAGTTAAACCTGTCCAACTGTCACGCTGAAGGCTGTGGCTAGAAGGCTAGAGAAAGTAGTCTATTTAGGGGGAACTTCACCAATTTTATACATAGAATTATCTTTCCACTAACAAGGTTCAAGAAAGATGCAGGAAGCCTTCAGTAGTTGCTATCAGAGAAATGTAGGATCCAGTGTTTTTAAAGCTCAGTTCACACTCTGGGCTAGAAGTCTGGCTATTTGATGCGTCACTTTTCTCCATTTTTAAATGTCTTTTGAAATTTGTAATTCCTTCTTTCATGCTTTCAACCAAATATGCCGACTCGATCTACAGTCAGTGTTTATTTCTCAGGGTTTGAGTCTGAGCTGAACCAGCATTAAATGAAGGACTCAAAGGGATGAGCGAAGCTTCAAAGTGACAGGCCACTGGAGTTGGTCAACAACAAGGTGGCGCCTCGCAAAAAGCACTTGATCAAAACTGCTTTACTAGTAATCCTCCTTTAAGCCCCTGTTCCTTGGAATAACCAACCTAAAGGCCAAAGGCTCACTAAAAGTAGATACACACGGGTATGAAGGAGTTCTGTACCGGCACAAATAGCTCCATAGTAAATTTACAGTGCAGTATTGTAGCTGTAACTGGGTGCTGACATAGATGGTATGTTTAAGTACAATGGCAAACGTCTGTTACCTCTGCTATCACTCTGTTTTGCACCATCACAAAAGCATTTCTGATTCACGGACTGAATCAGAAATGTGTGCATTGTAGTTTTCTGATGACGCTGCGGTGGTTGGATGCATCAGCAGGGATGATGAGACAGAGTACTGTGGTCGACTCCTTTGTCACGTGGTGTGAGCAGAATCATCTGCAGCTCAACGTGGCAAAGACCAAGGAACTGATCGTGGACTTCAGGAAGACCAGGAAACACTTGACCCCCGTTTCAATCCAGGGGGTCAGTGTTGACATTGTGGAGGACTATAAATACCTTGGAGTTCACATTGACAATAAACTGGACTGGGCTAAAAACACCACAGCACTTTACAGGAAGGGCCAGAGTCGTCTCTATTTTTTGAGGCGACTGAGGTCTTTCAATATCTGCCAGAAAATGCTGAGGATTTTCTATGAGTCTGTTGTGGCCAGTGCGATCCTCTATGCTGTTGCATGCTGGGGGAGCAGGCTGAGGGTCGCAGATGCCAACAGACTCAATAAACTAATCCGTAAGGCCAGCAATGTTGTGGGGATGGAGCTGGACACCCTCAAGGTGGTGTCGGAGAGGCGGATGCTGTCCAAGATAAAGACAATGTTGGATAACACCTCCCACCCACTCCATGACATGCTGGTCAGTCACAGGAGCTCGTTCAGTGAGAGACTGAGATTACCAAAAAGCACCACTGAACGACACAGGAAATCTTTCCTGTGTGTGTCTCCCTGTACAACGCATCCACTTAACACACTGTTTGCTGCTACAACTACACATGTTTCTTTTCCAACTATTTATTTATGAGTGAAGTATGTATGTGTATATATGTATATATTGTACTATTCTTAGTTAGTGTATTGTCTGTCTTGTCTTAATGTTGGTTTAAAATGGAGCACTGTAACAAAAAATAATTTCCCCCAGGGATTAATAAAGTATTCTGATTCTGATTCTGATTCTTACCTGTGTTATTTAGGCCAAACAACAGGGGACAAGATATGGCGAAAGACAGTACCCAAACCACAGAGATCATCACCGTGACCCGTCTCCTGGAACTGTAGCGGGTATTGTACAGCATTGGCATTGCAACTGCCGTGTAGCTGTAAGGGGTAAAGGAAACATAGTTGTCATAGTTATAATTGGTGAAAAACATGGCACATTTTTATAGTTGTACATAGTGAGTAAAGCAGGTTTGAAATATTTATATACACACACATGCTTTTAATAAAATTTCATTTTATTGTATTTTTTTCATTAAGTGATCACACCACTTCTATTTCCAGTTCTCTTTCTCCATCAGTTGAAATTTTTAGCTCAAAGCACAACAGAAAGCATGGAGCCAGAAAAGGGTGAAACAAGAAATGCTGCCTGTCATTTTTAATCAAATCCTTTTCCGAGATGGACTGGCCTGTGGAAACAGGTGCTGTAAGCTGCAGCTCCAATAAAATGAGATACTAGTAGGAAGGCTGTTTTAATGCCAGTCTCTTGCAGGAAAGGCCTTATCATTTAACCCTGATACATTAGTTAACCTTATTAGTGAGCTTGCAGTAATCACTAGGAAATGCCCAGCTTTCTCATTCATTGATTTTCTTTTTGGTTTTGAAGTGTTTTACTCAGAAAGTCAGCTTGGGAAAGCCTTTACGAGCGCATGACTGAGTGTCTTTGTGACAGAAAATCAGTGGTTACTGACTACCAATCTAATGTTTACGATGATATTGGCAGAGATTTCTTCCAGTAAAAGTTTTTCCTCCTATGAGCAAGAAGCCAACTGCTTGCTCATAGGGGATTTTTGTAACGTTACCTTACAATTTTTTTGGTGGCTGGTGGAAAGCACAGGTTAGGAAGGTGGTTGCAAAGAAGCTGAAGTGTAATAAGCGTCAGACAGTTCAATAACAGTTGTTAGTATTATTTTTTTTGGCATGCATGACATGAATCATTCAAACAATAATAACCATTATAATAATAATAATAACCAAGTGTTTTCTCCCCCTATTTTTGAGCTGTTGATGGCGCTCATCAGTGTAGTTAGAACATTGAGCACGGCGATATGACTCACTCAGTGAACATGTAATAATCACCACACCCTTGATTAATAGCTCACTTAGTATTAATCAAGCCCTTTGGCTATTTGTGCCAGTGGCAGCCTCGCAGAAACCCACGCAGCCTGCGTACAAAAGACCTGTCATTTCAAGCTTACACACAAAAATAGGACCAGTGTGCATCAGGTCAATAGTCTGAAAACTTGTGAGACACTATCAAGCTCTAGCAAAATATGTAGCCACTAAATAAGCACCTGCGCTAAGGTAAAGCAGCTCAAACACCTGGAGACATGGGATGCATGTTTTCTTCCAACCTTTTTTTTGTCATGTGCTTCATATTACATTAATAAGATTGCTCTGGGAAGCTGTAGTTTTAGGTAATTGTGCAAACCATTTATGTAAACAGACATTAGTTTTTCTCACAGTAATTGAAGCAACGTGCTGTATATAAACACATTCAAATAACGTTAAATTAATTTATTCTATTGCATATTATGACTCACTGAGAGCATTATTACAGAGAAGTGTTTTCAGCCATAAAACCGCCTGCTTTTTGGCGAGCATAATTGGAGATTGGAGTCCACGCGTACATTCGTATTACCTCCTACACATAAGCAGTTTTGTCTTAGTCCCATTAGTCTTCTGCTTCTAAAGAGGAAGTGAGTGGTTAAATTGATTGGCCATTGTTGGAGGGCGCCCCAACTCCAATTGCAATTAATCTAGTCATCCTTCTAAAAAGAGTGAATACTTACATTTGCACACAGAAATAGACCCCATAATTTCATCACACCCCAATTTGCTCCACATTAGAGAATAAGAACAAAGTTAGCACAGCAGGAAGCAATCCTTGGATGTATAAATTACTGTGCTGCCTAGAGCTGGAAACACATTTATCTGTGACTGTTATATGAATCTTTGCAAATAAATCGCCATCATGTGAGTGGATCCTTAACCGTGCCAAAGCCAGGTGAAGTGATTCTTGATTCTGTCACAATGATTCACATATTTGGTATTCACAAATATGCGGCAAACAAGCACAGGCCATATCACTGATATCTAAATGTAAATTCAGGTGAGATTCCTCTCTAGTGTGCTTGAAACATTCATTTACATACAAAAACAACGATATACGATCACATTATTCAGATTAATAAGATTTTCTCCACATACAAGTCATCTGTATTCTAATTCACTCACCTCAGTAAGAGCTGAAAATGTGACCAAGGTGAATATTTATTACTACACTAAAGTGAAAGCCTGTGTGGAGTTGTGAGATTATTGTATTTGTTTACTAGTCAGCAAGACTATGCGATATCTACAAAGTGTAATTATAGGACCATAGGTGGAAAGGCGCAACACTGGCAAAAGAAGAACCCATTTAATTTTGCTGTGGATGCAGATCACTTCTTTAAAATGGAGAAATAAATCAGTGTCGCTGGATATGCTCCTTTAGCGTATCTTTAAATTAATCGTGAAAGAATTAAATTAAATTAAATGAAGATAGAAGAGAATAGATGGATGGAAAATGTGGTAAATATATCCTTGATATTCCCATGAACAGCCTTCAAGTGTAAGTTTCAAAAAATTACATAAAGTTTAATCACAGCACTATCGTTAAACAGTTTTTTTTAAAATCACAGAACAAAATGAGAGAATTTAGTTTTTAAAGAATCCACGTTTATTGACAAGACAAGAAGCAGTGTTCTTGCACTGTTATGTTGAATTAAACAGAGACTATTGATTTTAAGCAGTTCCGATCAATATTTAAACAATGAATCAAACTACTGTGTACGTAATGGGCGTTCTGAAAGACTGTATCTGAGCAGATAGTTAAAAACTGATGCTAGAAAAATATAACACTGAAGTGCTACGTTTAAGCTATTTTGACTTTGTTGAAATAATCTGTATTAATTCTTTATTATAAAAATATTTCATGTTGTTATTAAATAATATTGATGCATATGCTGTTTGTAACACATACTATGTAATATGCAATCATTAATCTGAATTATGAGGAAAAGAATGCCTCTGGCTCAGTTTAATATTCAAACCTGAGCCTTTTGTTTTATTTAATACTTTCATCTAAATCTTAATTTTACACCCTTTTTGCATGTGAGAGGCTCTTTGGTATTTTGATCATCTTTACATCTTTACAGGAGGACAATTTATGTGAGTAACATAAAAATTCAAACTTTGTTTTACTACTGACACTTAGTTAGGATATATGAGTGAATTATGTAAAATGAATGCTTAATAACCTATACTCATTGAAACTTTCTTGCTTATAGTACATCATTTAGCATTCAGATTTACACAATTATATCACATGGCTTTAATACTGATAGTCAAAGCTTTACAGTGTACTTTTAGAGGTTTGTAAGCTACTTTAATTGAGATATTGTAATTAATCTAAAGTGATATTATTCACTGTTATTTTAAAATTGCACTTTTTATTAATGCATCGAATATCTTTAATAATGGCATTATTAAGCTGCTGTGTAAATGTAGTTGCCACCTCTACTAAAGAAACTTTCAAATATGACTCAGGTCTGTGGAACATTTCAGCATCCCTCAGCTCACTCTTTTAGTTTTCCACTAGTGTTAATATTTTTGATACATTCCTTGCTCTCTGTGGTCTCAGCTGCAGCAAAAACCTTTTTAACCTGTTAGCAGTCGGACGTACCGCCCACGGTACATTGGATGGTTTAGGGGACTAATTGTAAATTTGTAGGACTGCTAAGGGGTTAAGCAAATATGCTCTATAAACCTGACTGTTTGCTACAAGTTTAGTTCTAAACCACAGTCAAAGTCTTCCGCTCTTAGATTATTTTAAGGATTTTTGCAGCTAATTTGGTTGAAAAGCCAGCAAGCTCTGCAGTCTAAATGACTACCGTATGTAGATTGTTTGCTTTGTCTGCACTCTCTCACAGAAAATATGTCGTTTGTGAATTGCATAAAAAACAAATGACTAATGATTCAGGATGACAACTTTAAAGGAAAGACAGAAAACACATTTGTATATGTTTTTTTTAAATAATAAAATTTACGCAATAAGTATAGTATAGTTTAGCATTGTGTTATGTTATGTTAGCATTTAGAAACTAAGTGGTGCCTTTTTCATACTTGGGATTCCAAGAAACACCCTGTGTTGTGAGGCAGGTCTAGACTACAGGGGGACAATTCACACATTACACTGGCCAGACTGCATGCATGGCATTGCTGGAACTTGATCACAGGATTTAATATTCATAACCCCAGCTCCAAAATGTAAATACAACCTGATATACCCATATTCCATTCACAACAGATTATAGAAAAAAAAATCATGATTTTAAAACAAAAAAAGGTTAATTTTTATTTGATGGCAGAAGCAGTTCTCTAAAAAGTCGTTACAGGGCCATATTTACCACAATTTAGAGTCCTCTATTCATTTAACAACAGTCTGTAAATATCTGGGAACTGAGGGGGGCTGCTGCTGGACTTCTTTGTCCTATTTTTTGTTTCATGATGTGCCAAATATTTTCAGTTGGTGAAAGATCTGGTCTGCTGACAGGCTGTTTCAGCACTCGGACTCTTACATAACAAAGCCATGTTGTTGTAATATTAGCGGCATGCTTTTTAACATTGTCCTACAAAAATATGAAAGGCCGTCCCTGAAAAAGTGACATTTGTTTTGCTCTATATGTTGCACTGATGGTGCCTTTCTACACCTGCAATCAGCCATTTCTACATGCACTAATGCACCCCTATACCATCAGCGATGCAGGCTTAACAACAAGGATGGTCTCTCTCCCGCTCTTGTAGTGTGGATGATGTGGCATTCATATTTTCCAAAAAATATAAGAAATTTCGATTTGTCTGACCACAGAACCGTTTCCCTCTTTGCTTCAGTCCATTTTAAATGAGCTTTGGGTCACAGAAGATGGCAGCATTTATGGATCATGAAACTTATACAACTTCTTCTTATAGACAATATTATCTGGAAGTGTTTCGGAGCCCATGCAGGAATTCTTATGACAGGATGATTCCTGTTTTATTGCACTGCCATCTGAGGAGCTTAAGATCACAGGCATCCAGTGTTGATTCTCGGCCTTGTCCATCGCAACTTTTTTGTAAATGGTGTTTGGTGTTTACTCAGCAGTTAACTAAAAATTAACAACTAACCCAAAACACCATCTGACAAGTCATCACATTGACTTAACCCTTTATAGCATGACTATGAAATAACTGCCAGGAAATTCAAATTTTCTGAACCATTTATTGAGCTTATTGAACCAACTAACAAATCTGCTTAATAAAATTGATGAAATTACATTTAAATGTCCTTTAATTTGCTACATCTGACATTAAAAAATGCTTAAAAATACATTGTGCAATTTATTTAGGTTTTTCAGGATTTAAAAAATTACACTGATTATGCAGAAATCCCCAAACCACACAAAAAACTATATGTATTAAACATGACACACTAGGCATTAAGATGTTTATTTCAAACAATATTTATTTGAGAAATTGGGTTCAGCAAATATTTATTTATTTTTATTTATTTTTTTCTTAAAGACTTAATTAATTAAAACTCTTTTTTTAAAATTTGGTGTATATTTATATTACAAAATGTATTTATTTTTACATATTCAATTAACAATTAATTACTCAAGATGAAATCCTTTTCAGTGATTTGCTCATTTTTGTACCCGGTAGTTAAACCTTTGCTAAAGTTCATCTATTTTTAAAATTTTTAACCCTGGCATATGTCTATGAAAAGGTTGCTGCTGACAGTGTGCAGGCACCCACAAATATGCTATTAGATTTCACTCTCCACAGCACCTGTCTTACAGGTGGTCCTTGGATAATGCACTCATTTTAGTTCCAAAATTGCATCAATATGCCATATTGATGTGCATACATATTTCTGTCCTGAACATCTGGTGGCTGGTAATCAGGATTGCAGATAAACAGAAACTGAATGTGTTGTTATGGTGTATTCCTGGCTTAAAAATCTCATTTTGTTTGTTAATAGCTGTGTGTGCTTTGATGGTCATGCAGTTAAAAGACACCAGTTTTCTGTTTCATATTATTCAGCAGGTAAAGATTTCCATCGGAAATCCATGCTGGAATCATAACAGGCTAAACAATCTGCGAGGTGGCAAACTCACCGATCAATGCTGATGGCACAGAGATTGAGGATGCTGGCTGTACACATCATCACATCCAGAGTGACAAAGATGTCACAGTGGATCTTGCTAAAGCGCCACTCTCCCACCACCTAGGAGAGGAAAACATCCACAAATGACAGTTAACTGCCAGAGTCAACAGAAAAAAGTCAATATGCTAGCAATGGAAGCTTCTTGGCAGAAATAATGTGTTTGTGTTCAGCAATAAAAAGCAAACCTGACACTAAAGCCTTCTTGCATAATTTCCCATATCATTTCAAACTTGGCAACACAAAGAGAGAAGCAAAGGAACAAAACTGAGACATAAGAGGAAAGAATGGATGACTGAATTATGAATGAGTAAGTATTAAAAAAGCATCCGTTCTATCACATGAAGAGATTTCTTGCTGTCATAAACATTTTGCAAGAGCTCCAAATCCAAATAATATGTCAGTTTCTTTTTTATGAAGAATTTTACAAGTGACTAGTTGAAATTTGACAGATTATCTTATCTCTCCACTTACAGTGGTAAGAAGTAAAAGCTTCAAAAACATATAGACATCCTCCTTAGACAAGACAAGTATTCTTTACCATGTATCCTACTCTTTAGCTCGAGGAAGCGTTTGATCAAAGACGAGATCGAAACCTGTTTGAATTCATGCCACCGTTGCTCTCAGCTGTATGATCTAAGCTCATGATGAAACCAACATCAGTGATGTTGTGACAGGTCTGAAGCCGCCCAGCTTGTCTGACACTGAAGCCTGCCTGTTTCCTCCCACAGCTCTATCAAGGGTAAGGGAGATGTGTTTGTTCAGGGGCAACTCCTGCCTGGCTGATTAATCTTTGTCCTGTGGATGTGTCTTCATAAAACTAAGCTCCCATCATTAAAGAGCTGTAACTTTTTGCTGGTGTCGTTATAGCCAGTTTTCTGTTGCCCTGAAAACTGATTTCACCTCTCCTCTCTTCTCTTTTCCACAATTTTCCAACCTTTAACTCTTGACGTTTCTCTTCACTGTGGCTAAGCACCACTATGATAGTATGCTTTCATTTTGACTGTTTCTCTCTTTGCTATCATCCTTTTGCTCCTTGCACTTGACTTTTATTTTTCAGTCAAAGCTACTCCAACACACCCGTGCAAGTTCCCGTCCTGCTAGAGCTGCGAACAAATTTTAGTGTTAAAATTTAAAAGGTCTACAAGAGCTGAAAGCCATTTCATGTCCTTGTGGCTGCAACTGAGGTCTGTTCAGTCTATGTAGCGAAACACCTTTTGTGGATATTAAACAGCTTTTTACAAGACAGTCATAATAAATGCATGTGTGCCAAAACTGGCGTGATCCCCTGTCAGGAAACATCGATCTGTCCTTCTCAGTTATCCCACCGTTTGCATTTTTCTGTTAAAGTGAAGATGACTTTAATCTTTTGAAGTTAAATTATGACACATCATCATTTTATGCTGTGAAATATTTATTTAGATTTTTGTCATTATAAGTGCTGCAGTTGAAAACGTTGCGTTATGAGGTCTTTACTTTCGTGCGATTTATTCAAATCTGTTCATTTTGAGTCATTTGTGCCAAATTTGAAGATATTACCTCAGCATGTTCAGAAATATTTCATTCATGAGAATGGGAATGAGATGATTAACCCAATGGCATTATGCTTCTGGCAACAAATGAAAAATGTAGGCAGTAAAAGGATAGAAATTATGACAAGTTTACTAATGTTGTCCATCAGCAACACACAACAGTGCTATTATATTATTGAATTTTAATGATGGGTTTATTTGTTTCTCCTTAAATCCTGCACTTCACTTCATTATTGAAATTAATTGACTGCATCTTTGTTTGCAAATTAGTAGATTGTTTGAAGAACTTTCCATTCCCATAATGGGTTTTCGTGTAATACTGCAGTGTCATTTTTATTTGCCAAGCTCATTTTTTTTGTGAATTATCATCTATAATTCATATTATGCATACCACTTATGCATATGCATACCACTTATGCATATGCATATCACTTAGAGGGTATTGGCATTTGATTTCAATCTACAATGCTGGGAAAAAGTAGAAATAAGGATGTTATATGAGATACATCATTTACTAGTCAAATGAATTCTCATTTGTCAACTGGAGAAAGGATTAGCTGTTTTGGATTTGAATGAGTCATTCCTTTGACAGTCAAAATAATGTGCTGTTTTATTAATTCTTATCTTTTATAAATGTTTTATAACTAAAAAGAAGGAAAATGTATTATTTTAAAAATGCTATTTTTGCTCAGCAGGGTGGAGCATCAGTATCTGTGTTTTACTGACAGAAGTGCTACATGTCTTTGAACATCAATGTTTTTCTTCCCACCTTTACTACAATTAACAATTTTTGTGCATGTTTTGACTTGTGGTGTCTACCTTGCAAAGCAGCTTGATTCTTATTGTAAGATTCATAAGATCAGGTTTTGAGCTACAAGACTTCTGGAATAATGTCCTTTGGGCAGGAAAGAGCAAAGTGGAGATATCTGGCTATAAATCTGGCTTTAATACACACCACCACATTTGGTGTAAACGCAGCATAAACACAGCAGCGCAAACACCTCATACCAGGTGTCAAGCACAGTGATGGACGGGGATTTTGGCTTGTTTTGCAGTTACAGGATCCAGGGACTTTGCAGTCATTGAGTTGACTATGAACATCTCTGTATATAAAAGCATTGTAGAGCCAAATCTAAGTCTATCAGTCAGAGAGCTAAAGCTTTGCCAAAATATTGTCATGCAACAGGACAATGATTCCAAGCACAGCGGTGAGTCTACAATAGAATTAGTAAAAAAGGATGTTACAATGGCCGAGTCAAAGTCCAGAACTCAACCCGACTGAAACCTGTGCATAATAAAAAATTCCTGCAAACTTAATTGAACTGACACAACACTGTAAATAAGAGAGAGCTGAAATTCCTCCTGCATTGGGTGACAGACTGAGACTGAGACCAAAGTCATACAGAAAATTTGATTACTGCAAATTATTGCTGCTACAAGCTACAGAATCATGGAGCGTACTTAGTTTTTCACAACATGCTTCTGCATTTTGGCTTAGTTTTTAGATAAAAAAAAATAAAGAAACAGTCTAATATGTTATGTGTTGTAATTCATCTAGGTTTGTGTTCAACTCATTTGAATTCTATAAGAACTTGACAATTGTTTATTATGTCCTGATATGTAAAACAAGGCTTCCTTTTATCATGACTGTATTCAGGTATGCTTGAAGTAGTACAAAGAAACTCAGTGAGTACCACAAAAACATCCCCCACAACATTACACCAGCAGCAGCAGTAGCAGCCTGAACTCCTGATATGATGTTGTTTACACCAAATTCTGATCCTACCAAAAATTTAAAAAAAGGCAATATTTTTCCAACTTTGATGAATGGTAATAATTTTAGCCTTGTTTTTTTGTTCTTATATGACAAGAGTGGCACCTGGTGTGCTCTTCTGCTTCTGTAGCCCATCTGCTTCAAGGTTCAATGTGTTATGCATTCAGAGATGCTCTTCTGCATACTATGGTTGTAATGGGTGTCTGTTTGAGACACCATTGCCTTAAGCTGGGAGCAGGCTGGCAATTCTCCTCTGACCTCTGGTATTAAGCAGATTTTTAAATATAGAACTGACTTTGTCTTTTAGGATCTTTGCAAATCCTACACATGGTCAAGTGGAAAAATCCCAGTATTTTAAGTTTCTGATATGCTTCGACTTTTAACAACAAACATGCCACATTCAAATCATTTAAATTGCTTTCTTTCCCATTCTGATGCTCAGTTTGACATAAAGCAGGTTGTATTGACCATGTCTACTTCCCTGAATGCATTGAGTTGCTCCCATGTGATGGCTGATTAGATTATTTCCCATTACAAGCAGCTGAACTTCTGTACCTTAAAAAGTGGCTGATGAATGTGATACATTAAAGTAAATCAGAAAATTTCCAAAAAGATTCTCATGCCCATCCAAATAATTGAATTCAGGTGTTTTTTGGATCACTTTAATGATCACTGGTGTATTACATCAAGCACCTAGGCATGCAGACAGTGTCTACAAACATTTTCGAATGAATGTTTCGCCCATAGCAGCTCAGTAAATTCCAACATAGTAATGTGATAGGATGTGCAGCAAGTCCAGTTTAGAAATTTCCTCACAACTAAATATAAGTCAACTCTTATTGGTATTATGACAACAACAACAGCAACTCAGCCATGAAGTGGTAGGCCAGCCAAAATCACAGAGCGGGGTCAGTAGATGCTGAGGTGCATAGTGTGCAGAGATCATCAAATTTCTACAGAATCAGTAGCTACCGATCTCCAAATTTTATGTGGCTTTCAGATTACCTCAATTCAATTTATTTATATAGAACTAAATCACAACAACAGTCTCCTCAAGGGGCTCATCAGAACAGCTGTATCCACATTATGAAATGCGATGCAGCGTCTGATGCAGTTGGGTTAAAACTGGACTCTAGAGGAATGGAGACATGTTATCTTGAGCGATGAATCATGCTTCCCCGTCTGGCAATCTGATGGAGGAGTCTGGGTTTGGAAGTTGTCAGGAGAATGGTACCTATCTCACAGCATTGTGCCAAGTAAAAGTTTGTTGGTGTGGTGTGGGGTTGGTTTTCAGGAGTTGTGCTTGGCCCCTTAGTTCTAGTGAAAGGAACACTTTAATCTTCAGCATACCAAGACATTTTGCACATGTTCCTAACTTTGTGGAAACAGTTTGGGGGTGGCCCCTTGATTTTCCAACATGACTGCGCACCAGTGCACAAAGAAAGGAAAGGACCATAAAGACATGGATGAGCGAGTTTGGTGTGGAAGAACTTGACTGGCCTACACAGTCCTGACCTCAACCTGATATAACACCTTTGGGATAAATTAGAGCAGACACTGTGAGCAAGGCCTTCTCGTCCAACAACAGTCTGACCTCACAAATATGCTTCTAGAAGAATAGTAAAAAAAAATTCCTTGTGGAAAGCCTTCGCAGGAGAGTTGACACTGTTGTCTGCAGAGGATGGGTAGATGTCATTTAAACCATTAAGAATAAGAATAGGATGTTATTCTAGTTCACATGTGAAGTGAAGGCAGGC